TTGTGTTGTGTTGTGTTGTGTTGTGTTGTGTTGTGTTGTGTTGTGTTTTTTGTGTTATGTTATGTTTTTCAACACAGTTCACCTCAATTCATTTTAGTTCATCCTACCTCAACTCCCCTTAATTTTAGTGGTTGAATTTCAACCATTGGGCGAACACTGTTTGTATAAACCCCACTACAAAAAAAGTAAAATAATGAAATTTTACTTGTAAATATTTCATGAATTGAAGAAACTGTGAAATTATATCATAGTTACACAGCTCGGGTATGTAAGAATAAATTTCAATTCATCAGTCAAGAAATTTCAAACAACGAATAAATTTGTATTTATCATTCAAGTAGTTTCGACTGAAGAATGAATTTTTATTCATCATCAAATAACGAATACATTTTTGTTCATCTTTTAAATATTTGCGAATAAGGATACATTTTTATTATTCATTCAAGTAATTTCAATAACAAATAAATTTATATTCATCATCCAAGTAATTTCAAATTATTGATCTGACCCTATCTAACTCTCGATTAGGGTGGCTAAACTGGAGAGTCCTGAGTGAAGATTCGCTCTCGGACCACAAATACATCGAGTTTCAACTTGGCGAGTACACTATTTGCTCTGCCCCAATGCGAAACTTAAAAAAACGGACTGGTCGTGATTTAGGAAGAAGCTGGGAAACCAGCAAAAGGTAGGGTCTGTCACCAAGTGGAATCCTCTGGATTTATACCTCTATGATCAGATCCATGATCAGCTATGCGTCAGGGAGCAGACTCTCAATCAATAGCGTGGGAAGTCTGCTTGCCAAACTTCAAAGAACTATTGCTGTATGCTGTACGGGAGCTTTCTCTACAACACCTGGCGCTGCTCTTAATGCACTGCTCATACGTGGGCAAGCCTTAAAGGCCACCTGCAGACTAAAAAGAAACGGATGTTGGTATAACACTGAGTAGGGTGAGATCTGAGCACTTGTGTCTTTTCAAAGCCACAGGACAGTACACCACCATTACCTTTTGGTCCTATAATTTTGAGTTCCCTGAGGCTGAATGTTGGTTGATACCAGCGCTGAGCCCGGTAGACATTGGCCAGCCCTCTAACTACTTCCAAACTAGTTAGGCAGTGCAAGTCTCCACTAAATTATGTTGGAAAACATAGCCAGCTTCTTTTACTCTGGGTGCCAGGCCACTCGGGAGTACCTGGTAATGAGACATCTGACCATTTCGCCAAAACTGGCTCAGACTAGGTGTTCCTCCGTCCGCAACTATTTATAGCACTCCCACCTTCGGCCATCGAGGGGCTGCAGGTGGGCGAACTCATGTTAACTTCAATCTCAGAAGGTCTATCTAGTTTTTTGCTCTCACTGAGCAGACGGGACTGTATACAACTTGAAATTTTTTAAGTAAGTGATGATCCAAGTTCAAAAAATTAATTTCCAATTTTTGTTCTGCGTGACATTTTGATTCGACGTTTCGCACAATGAAATTATTGAGATATATGTAGTAATTAAACAATAGCGGGGATAGACAGCACCCTGTGGTACCCCGTGTTTATTTTTTCTGTGTTTGCTTTTTTGTCTCTAAAAAATGTCGACCACTCAGATAATTCGCCTAATAACGTATTTGACAGATCCAATGTTATTGGAGCTGTTCTCTCACAGGGGCGGTTTCGGTTAAGGCCACGAGTTATCTGGGTGTTTATGGAACCCAGCCCCTGTGGTGTAGCGG